CGCTATCTTATACTATTTCGTAACAGTGCTGTTTTTCTTTATGTTCCTGTTCGCTGTCTTATACTTTTCATGTGGTGCTGTTTCTTTTATGTTTTCCTGTTCGCTGTTACTATTTCGTAACAGTGCTGTTTTCATTTATGTTTTCCTGTTGCCTATCTTATACTATTTCGTAACAGTACTGTTTTTTCTCTTTATGTTTCCCTGTTCACTATCTTATACTATTTCATTGGTGCTATTTTCTTTTATGTTTTTCCTGTTCCTTGCTATCTTATACTATTTCGTTTCAGTCTGTTTTTCTTTATGTTTCCCTGTTCCTTTATCTTATACTATTTCACAACAGTGCTGTTTTTTCTTTATGTTTTCCCTGTTGCTTTAATCTAAAACTATTTCATTAACAGTCTTCTGTTTTTCATTTATGTTTTCCCTGTTCCTTTGCTGTCTTATACTATTTCGTAACAGTGCTGTTTTCTTTTATGTTTTCCCTGTTCGCTATCTTATACTATTTCGTAACAGTGCTGTTTCTTTTTATGTTTTTCCTGTTCGCTTTATCTTATACTATTCCTTAACAGTGCTGTTTTCTTTATGTTTTCCTGTTCGCTGTCTTATACTATTCCTGTGGTCTTTGTTTTATTTTATGTTTTCCCTGTTGCCTTTGTCTTATACTATTTCACAACAGTGCTGTTCTTTTATGTTTTTCCCTGTTGCGCTATCTTATACTATTTCGTAACAGTGCTGTTTTCTTTTATGTTTTCCCTGTTCATGTCTTATACTATTTCACCATTAACAATTCTTTGTTTTCTTTTATGTTTCCCTGTTGCTGTCTTATACTATTTCATTAACAGTGCTGTTTTCTTTTATGTTTTCCCTGTTCGCTGTCTTATACTATTTCATAACAGTGCTGTTTTCTTTCATGTTTCCTGTTGCGCTTTGTCTTATACTATTTCATGTAGTGCTGATTTTTCATTATGTTTTCCTGTTGCTATCTTATACTATTTCATGTAGTCTGTTTCATTTATGTTTTCCTGTTCGCTGTCTTATACTATTCACCAACAGTGCTGTTTTTCTTTTATGTTTTCCCTGTTCGCGCTGTCTTATACTATTTCGTAACAGTGCTGTTTTTCTTTATGTTTCCTGTTGCACTATCTTATACTATTTCGTAACAATTCTTTCTTTTCTTTATGTTTTCCTGTTTGCGCTTTAATCTTATACTATTTCCTGTAACAGTGCTGTTTTCTTTATGTTTTCCTGTTGCGCTGTCTTATATATTTCATAACAGTGCTGTTTTCTTTATGTTTTCCTGTTCATATGTATACTATTTCATGCTGTACTGTTTTCTTTTTATGTTTTCCTGTTCGCGCTGTCTTATACTGTTTCGTAACAGTGCTGTTTCTTTATGTTTTCCCTGTTCATGTCTTATACTATTTCACTTAACAGTGCTGTTCTTTATGTTTTCCCTGTTCGCGCTGTCTTACTATTTCGTAACAGTGCTGTTTTTCTTTTTATGTTTTCCTGTTCCTTTGTCTTATGCTATTCGTAACAGTGCTGTTTTTCTTTATGTTTTTCCCTGTTCGCGCTGTCTTATACTATTTCGTAACAGTGCATTTTCTTTTATGTTTTCCCTGTTCATTTTATACTATTTCGTAACAGTGCTGTTTTCTTTATGTTTTCTCTGTTCGCTTTGTCTTATACTATTTCACTAACAGTGCTGTTTTCTTTATGTTTTCCCTGTTCGCGCTGTCTTATACTATTTCACAACAGTGCTGTTTTCTTTATGTTTTCCCTGTTCGCTCTGTCTTATACTATTTCGCAACAGTGCTGTTTTCTTTTATGTTTTCCCTGTTCGCGCTGTCTTATACTATTTCGTAACAGTGCTGTTTTCTTTTATGTTTTCCTGTTCGCGCTGTATCTTATACTATTTCGTTGAGTGCTGTTTTCTTTATGTTTTCCCTGTTCGCGCTGTCTTATACTATTTCGTAACAGTGCTGTTTTCATTTATGTTTTCCCTGTTCGCGCTATCTTATACTATTTCGTAACAGTGCTGTTTTCTTTTATGTTTTCCTGTTCGCGCTTTGTCTTATACTATTTCGCAACAGTGCTGTTTTCTTTATGTTTTCCCTGTTGCTGTCTTATACTATTTCGTAACAGTGCTGTTTTCTTTTATGTTTTCCTGTTCGCGCTGTCTTATACTATTTCGCAACAGTGCCGTTTTCTTTTATGTTTTTCCTGTTCGCGCTGTCTTATACTATTTCGCAACAGTGCCGTTTTCTTTTATGTTTTTCCTGTTCGCACTGTCTTATACTAATTGAGAAGAATTGTGCAAGAAACTTCAAGCAGGTACAGTAATCTAACTGGAGTATTCCGGCCATAGGTCGGGAATCTTATCCTTCAAACTTACATCGCTTGGTAAGTCATTTAACCTGCCATTAAACTTTTGTTTTTGCTCTTCATTGCTTACGTTCATGCACTTTACTTAGTTATCCAAACTTGCTCTATTGTTTTCAGCTCGGAGATTGTTATTTTTGGCAAAAATATTCAACATGTTCAATATTTGGCGAACGTCGCGAGTGATAAAAAACTCGAAAAAGTTTGACGCATACTAAAGCTTCCTTCCCAATAGCTTCCCTTTCATTGCGCAATGGAGTATTTTAACTCCTTAGCTTCAATATGCTCTAAACTACTTTACACTCACACTTGACAAGCTCAAAAACTTGCACACATGCGTAACAGTATATAAATATAAACAAACTCTATGACAAAAAAATGAAACAAAGGCAACCAACGAAGCATGTGAAATAGTCCTTTATAGAAGCGCATGCATAAAGCCCGCCGCACACTGGCGAACTTTTTGAGCGTACTTGTTATTCGCGACAACTTGGATCGACAAAAATGCAGGAAAGTTTTGAACAACATTTGTCATTCGTGACGGATGAGCTAAATATCAAACGTGTTTGATATTTTTTGTCATGAATGACAAAAAATCCCTGTGTACGTTGAGCCAACAACAAGTAAACTTTAGATGACAAAAATGCGCATGCGCACAACTAGCATCACAAAATGGCAGATATATTGAACATTTTGAACGAATTGATAAACGACGAAGAATTGCTACTGTGCTTGTAGCGATAAGGATGCTGCACACAAATGAGGGCAGCAAATCGTAGTCTTTTACTATAGTCTTCCTGTGAAAATGTGCAAAAATTCGTGAAAAATAGACTTTTTGTGAAAATGTGTGAAAATTCGTGAATTATAGTCTTTATGTGAAAATGTGCGAAAACGCGTTAATTATAGACTTTTTGTGAAAATGTGTGGAAATGCATTAATTATCGTCTTTACGTGAAAATATATGAGTTATAGTCTTTATGTGAAAATATATGAGTTAAAATCTTTATGCGAAAAGTGTGAAAATGAATGTATTATAGTCTTTATGTGAAAATATATGAGTTAAAATCTTTATGCGAAAAGTGTGAAAATGAATGTATTATAGTCTTTATGTGAAAATATATGAGTTATAGTCTTTATGCGAAAAGTGTAAAAATGCATGAATTATAGTCTGTATGTGAAAATATATGAGTTATAGTCTTTATGTAAAAAGTGTGAAAATGCATGAATTATTGTCTTTATGTGAAAATATATGAGTTATAATCTTTATGCGAAAAGTGTGAAAATGCATGTCTTATAGTCTTTATGTGAAAATATATGAGTTATAGTCTTATGTGAAAAGTGTGAAAATGCATGAATTATAGTCTTGATGTGAAAATATATGAGTTACAGTCTTTATGTGAAAAAGGTGAAAATGCATGAATTAATGTCTTTATGTGAAAATATATGAGTTATAGTCTTTATGTGAAAAGTGTGAAAATGCATGATCTATAGTCTTTATGTGAAATTATATGAGTTATTGTCTTTATGTAAAAGACTATAACCCAATTTATTCATCTTTTATGTTTTAACATACATCCAAAAATACTTTAGAAAATTCTCTATGCATGATGCCTTATAATATATTTTTTTGCATTTACGCAGCATAATAGAAACGCTTTACCTGCTGCTTTGATATTTAAATTTTATAAATTGTTTGTGTGGGAGAATAAATTAGTTTTTTCTTCTTGCAGTTGAAAAGCTGTTTTGTAAATTTCCAATTGAGTATATTTACAATGTATGGATCTCTGCAAAGTAAGAAATTTTTATTACAATTTTGCTATTGTTCAACCGAATAGTTTTTGATATATTACAGAGTTAAACTTTCACTAGTTGACAGAGGTCATTTTACTAAAATATGTTGTCATGTAGCAATGTAAACTATTTGTTACAAAGAATTCGTTGCTAATGTACTTTTCTGTGGACATTTAAATGTCACTCAATCAATATGACTTCTCATCAAACCATGCAATCACAGATCTGATGCAGAAAAATAACTGAACAACAAACACACTAAGAAATCTATTTAAAAAATAACGCCAAAACTCCTTTGTTAAAGATTGACTGTTTTTTTGGTTTCGCGTTCATACTTTGCCAGCAAAGTAAGAGAAACTTCAAAGAGTGACTTACTACAAAAACCAAAATATGCAACTATCTTTATCGAGCAGCTATGAACATGCCACAAAGCAGACTAATCATAGTGTTTGTTCAACACGACAATATCATAGAGCATGACACTCATTTAAAAAGAGATGGATTTAATTATATATTTTGTACTGCATGTCACAAGGTGATTTATAAAGCTGCTATCGAAAAAATGCTTCCTTTATGAAGATTTGAAGAATACATTACCACCGACTTTCTCTTCTACTTCCCGAAACAGCTTGAGACAACAAATAAAGTTGATATTCTACGGAATATCTTATATTGTGTTCAATATAGATTCACTGGAGAATGTTATCGATTTTGACAAACTTTTAATATATTATGGCTCGGAAAAGAAAACTCAAAAATGTCCCAGTATACGACATAACAAGTTTTCCTAGCTTTAACAGCTCTTTAAGCTAGCTATTATTCCATCCATTAACTGAATGTGACACAGTGTCTTATTTTGGAGGGTGCGACAAAAGAAAACTGCATTGGATGCCTGGAAATTAATTCATCCTCAACGGACTATTGAACCAAACAATTACATCGTCAGAAGAAAACATCACAAAGCAATCTATGGACGTTATTGAGAGGTGTGTGTTGCTGTTGTTTCATCGAAAGAAAAGAAAACTGATACAAACTGATTAAATATGCATGCAAAGGAAAAGTCAGTGCAAGTACTTTAAAGGCAATCTGTATTTAAACTGCGCTTTGTAATATGACTTTTATCCATTGCATTTTTACGACAGCTGTACGACCAATTTCGTATGAAAAATCAGTTTCCTCGTATTCACAATTTATTGATTGGAGCTTTAATCAACTGATTAGCAAATAGTTCATGTTAAATCGATGCAGACAAATGAACCTGTAAAATTGTCTGACTGTTCTGTTTTAAGAGCATGATACACTACTCAAGTTGAAAAAGCTAGATGTCAACAAAGTACAATATTTCTGGCAATAAATGCAGGAATTAAATGAGATATGATCTTCGCACTTAGCTGGACAATTTAAGCAAACACCGCACTGCATAAAACATTCATATAATAAATGCAGGAATTGACCAAGTGACCATTTTACACAAACTGTTATCGGTGGATAATTTTGCGAGTTTTTATTGAATTCACTCAAATACATGCTTAAAATAATCCCTGTATGTTCCTTTTTCAAATAAACTTTTATTGGATAAATTTCGATACAATACAATGGCAAGAACTGCGAAAAACCTCATTTTTGTAATACAATTTTCATATCTTTTGCCATGTTGACGCCGCCATATTGAATAATCATGATGGCCCAACGCGCACACATATAATATGTACGTACCTATGACTACTACATCTATGGTAAAAGTAGATATTTTAATATGGCGCAAAGCTCAAATTTAAACACGGTAAACAATTACAGACTTGCATTGTCATGTTATATAGCAAGCTAAGCAAAGAAGATAAAAAATTGAACATGCTTTGTATATTTTAACTGGTCTGAGGCAACGTATTTTAAAAATCTCTGTTGTAAAAGCACTTCTACTTTGTTTTGAAAAAATGCAGCAACCCTTATTCAACGTTGATTGTTATTCTTTCAATAATATTACACGACGCCTTTCCTTTATCGCGTTCCAGACTTTGTTGTGAGCAAAACGCGAGCGACAAATTGTATTCGAGAAAATGCAAAATTCAACGCTTGAAACAGGCCTTATTATGCGATGCCCGATGTTACTAAAAGATGTTAGATACAACCACATTTCACGTAGTGATTAGCCGCTGACCGTGTGAGTACGGGCAGATTAAGAAAAAAGGTACGTATAGGGTACATTTGGATTTAATTTTAAAAAAACAAAATACTATTAACAAGTCTTCAATTTACCTATTGATAATATTCTAATTGAAGAGTCAAGCACAATGCTTAATTAACATATTCATAATCAATATACATAAATCTGAAAGTTGCTTTTTATCGAGGAAATAAATTGAATTTAACTGATTGAAAATGAACTGTTAGTTTGAGAAATTTACGTTAATCGTAAAACAGAGGGAAATGGGAGCAAAGATGAGCCTAACCTCCATGGTCCTAGCTTTATAATGTTCGATCACTAATGTTTTACTTCTATTCTCCTACTATCTCCACCGTCTTTATACAAGCTGACCTTTATTGTCATATTTCTATTCTCATCTGTCGAAAATCATTTGACTAGCAAACACACAACTTAAATAAAAAATTTTGATATAGTCATAAATATACCATATAATAATTTAAAACCATATTTAGGGTTGATACAGTATGAAAAAAGGCGTATACAGTCAAGAAACTTAGACACTTCTCAAAAGCCAAGACCTCTTGTATGTGAAGACACATTTACGACCTTTCCTTAGCGGAGGTGATTACCAAAACAACCTTCACAAACAACATTACAAACTGTTGTAAGCGGTTGCACTTGATCTATTTTCAGTGAAATAAGTAATTATCCCGACTAATTGACATATTACGGTATATAAATAGATGTTGTTTTGTAATGCATGTAAATTCTTTCGTCTCCTTCATTTTTCTTCATGAACCACTATAGTTTCTTCTCCAGGTTTGCGCATTTATGTTCCTCAAAGAAAATTATTTCATGTCATGTGAACTTTAAGCATTGTGTCTATACAATGAAAATATACATGATGAATTTGTTGTTTGATAAAGTCTATGGACTCAAACGTTTCACTGTACAGATGTTAGACTTTTCAGTCGTTATCAAGCATATAATCATTTTTCAAAACACAGTCAAAACAATCATATTTAAACTTTTTTTTATGATTTTGTAATAATCCACCAGCATCTCATAAGCGGACACCTCCGACAAAAACACACCAAGTCATGGTCTAAAGGGAGTCCTTTTACGGTAAGTTTGACTGCATTCATTGAATTTAAAAATGCTTTTGAAAAACGTCAATGCCTGTATAGAGTAAAGAATGTTCTGAATTTTCTTCCTTGATGTTTCCCATCGTTGCAAACATTGGCTGGCACGGATGAAACTATCAAACACAATAGTGGTCATTTTACGGGCGTGATAAACACTATTGTACCTACGTCATTGCATTGAATATTCAATTTCATTACATGTTATTTAGCTATGACATGATTTCTTTTGCACGAAATTTTTAAAACATCCATGGAAAATTTTTGTTAGGTGTTGTTGTTACAACACACAATACACAGTTGAAAGCTCGTTTTAAAGAGTACCTACCTTGATTAAGCATGTCTCCCGAATATGCGCCGCATCTAAAGTTACAAGTATTTGATAAACGCCGCACTTTCTTATACCCGAAAATACGGTAATTGAGTTGGTTGATTGAGCTGAGATCAGTTTTTATGGTAAAATACAAACTTAACTGCAAACGAATCATTGTATGTATTGTTGGTATTATCTAACTGTGGGTGAAAAGTGATGACATTAAATGCTCCTTGATTTATGCTATAAATATTTTTAATAAAACACCTAACTAAAGATAACCTTAAGGACAGTGAAGTTATTAATAGCTCACCTGTGTATTATGTATATAAATTTTAGTAAAAGCAGGATTCATTATCCATCAATTTGCACTCAAGCCAGTCAAACAATTTGTCTTTATAAGCAAGTGAGCAGGTGATAATAGCACGTGAGAACACGATGCAAGAATGTGAGTGTTTAGTGCACAAACAAATGAAACGTAATTTTAGGGAGAGCGTACGGATAATAAAGAAAGTTCATGACAATTATTGAGTCTTGACTAAACAGTGTGCACAAGAAGAAAGTTTCACTAAAGAAAAGTGGTAAAGAAATGGATAATTTTATTATCTTATTAATTTTTTTATATTTACAAAAAGGAAATGTCCGTGTGACTTCACTAAATTTTCTGAGGGATACCGCACTGATCTGATTATGATTCCTCACTGATATATGTCATGAGAAAGATTAACACTTCACTTTAGCTGTAGTCTGTACTAAGGAAAATTTTAAAAAAATGAAATGTTTTCACTAATAATTTATAATTTGCATTCATTGTACAATTATAAGCATTGAAATTGAAGAAATGGTACTTTATGCTGTGCTTGATGTTTGATAAATCATATATGATTAGAAACATGATAATTCATGAATGCAATATCTGACGTCATTTTCTAAAATCGTCATCCATTATGAGTGAGACAAAATGATTCTTAATTTTTATTTCGATATCATATTCCAGACATTTCTGATTCCTACAATGCATCAATTTATTGCTAAATTAACCAAAGGATTAACCGGTCCCAACAGAAAAACTAAATGTGAAGATTTACAATATATTGATTTTTTCAAGATTTCTTTTAATTACAAAGTATGTCGAGGTTTGCCTCTCCTTTGGAAACACATCATAATAAGATTTTATTAATTTTATTTTAATGCAATCGCGGTCATCTCTGGTTGGTGGGCAGTACAAGTGGCATGGTAGGTAGCAATCACCAGTACTGTCTTTCGGAATCCACGCAATAACTTTATGTAACTTCAAAAAAAATCTTACGGCTTGATTTTTAAATTATCAAAGATAATGTAATTCAGTAAATCATTTGATTTGTCAATAATATTTTATTCTTAGCAGAAATAAAACTTCATCATTTTACTTTTTTTATACATTATGATAATATGTACATTTACTTTATATGATAATATGGTTGATTACAACTTGTTACACGTAGTTTTGTATTACAGATATATTTCAACAATGGATAAAAATGTCAAACACACAGCATTTTCCACATAAGGTTTTAAATTTTGCCCGACACATTTTACGAAAAACATCTTCGATTAGAATTAGGTTTTTAGTGTATATCTTTGACATGATTCCCCCATCACTAGGATCTTTCTTCGGCCTATAAAATTTTATAAAATTTAACTCTCAGAAAAGTGATTTCCTGCTTTCAGTATATATGAAGGAATATAGGAAAACCCTATCCATGATCTGAACAGGAAAAAAATCCGCAAATTTTGGCCAGTTTTAAATTTTGTCTGTGATTACTACTTGTGTTTTCCAAGTCTTATTCTATAATCAAATCAAAACAGTTTCATCCATTGTCATAATCATAGTAGTGTTCTTTGGTAACAATAGAAAGATGAAGCACGTCATTTTTTGCAATGAAAAGTAAAAAGAACAATACAATACACTACAAAAAATTAATGCATCATCTTTTTTCCTATGTGCAAGAAGTAGTATGCATGGAACATGGTAATACAAGCAATGTTCAAAGAGAATACCAATCTGGTAAACAATCATTTGCAATTAGGTAGTATGATTTAATAATGCAGGATGTAACAGATACCAATAAGAACATACACATCATTCATGAATGCATAAAACTGTGTGCATTATTCTTAGCTTCTCCCAAAGCTGCTGCAATATGGCTGTGCTATTCACATACTGAAAGGGAAGTATCGGAGAAACACAAAGCAAATGCATTTTGAAAACATGTAAATATCCCATCCTTATGTTTTTGGTGAGCATAATATTCAGCATTCTAAAAAAATTCAATGCTGGTAAGGTAGCACATAAGGAGTGATAACCTTTTATCCCCTACCAGTGAAATGGAGCATGCATTGTACACACAGTTCCCATCAGCCATTGTATTAAACAGAGAGAAGTATTTGCAATATTCAAAGAAAGAAAGCGATAAATACCAAACTTACATTTACTTTCAAGCTTCATAAAAATGATAAGAATACTTAGTGTATATTATAAACATATATTTTGATAAATCAGAGAAAAGGTCATGAATAAGGTGTTTTCAGTGGAGCTGGTTGATGATGTTAGTATAAAAATCCAAATGGTGTAAAATAGTAAGTAGATTTCCTACACAGTCGAGTGTCGAAACAATATAGGTAGTATATCATAGCACTTTGATGTCACATGAAGACATAGTGAAACCATATTTATAAAATAACACAAACACCAATTACTAACACATATTTTAT